AGAGGGAGAGAGAAGAGAGAGAGAGAGAAGAGGGAGAGAACGAGTAGAAGAAGAAGTTAAAAGAAAATAGGCAAACTTTTGGAATTTATTAATTATGAATAAATTGATTATTTTAATTATCCATGCAAAAAAAAAAAAGGATCCAAATCTCATTTTAGCATTCTGTTTTTGAAATTTCAAATTTATCAGAATATAATTTATTTATCAGAATATAATTTTTTATCAGAATATAATTTATTATTTTTAATTAGTTAAAGAAAAAACTATCCCCCTAAAAATTCTGTCCTTTTTTTTCTTTTATTGATTATTTGATATTATTAATGCATTATTTTCAGTTATTCTATTTATCAAATATGATAAAATTGCTTAAAATAAATAGCTAAATAAAATATCAGAAATGAATTATTAATACTTACAAGATCGTTAACATCATTTGGAAATGCATGACGTTGATGGCTATATGGATAAATCCACATTTGACTATATGTGTGCAATGTGATAAAGGCATCAATTTTACCAAACATTTCAGCTGATAACAATTTATCACGTATTGCTCTAAACAATTATCAATCATAAAGTATATTTGATGTTCAAAAAAAATAAAAGTGAAAAAGTGAAAAAAACTTGAAAGAATATTTTGTAAAAATTTATTCTATCAATCAATATTGCTATCATTTATTATTGCAATAATTTATTACTGTAATTACATTTATTATTGTAATTAATAATTATTTTTATAAAATATTTACAAAAGGAATGATTCGATTGCATTTCAATTCCAACTTTAATATTTCATGTATAATATTTAATATTTCATTTGCTAGCAAATGTCTTTATTGCTTTTTTTTTCTAAATGATTTATTGAAATTGTGATATGAAATGAATGTATCAAATAAATCAACAAGTAAATAATTACATATTTTTGGACAATTAATTGACAGTTTATTTAAAAATTAAACGTTAAAATCAAAAAAAAAAAACTAATAAATTTGCTAATATTTGTAATAAATCAAATTTGGCAAATAATTTAAAAATTGTAAAGTATGAATTAATCTAATAATTTACTCCAATAATTAATTTGAAGCTTATAAGTGTTTCTATAAAATTATGGATAGAAGGATTAAAATATAATCAAAAATTATTTAATAATAAAGGAAAGTGATGAAACAGTAATCTGTAGCAACGGGTAATTATTTTGCTCATTAATTTTATAAAGAATTATCATTACAATTATTCATGATACCTTGTTTCAGGTTCGCTAAATGGTTCGCTACCATGATAAATTTCGGAACAAACATGTGAACTTGATCCGGTTACTGCAATTCAGAATAAGCACTTATAAAGGATGAAAATGGAATTAATAAGTAGTTGAAATATTTAATATCATATAAAAGAACTCGAAAATAAATACTGTTTTTATTAATTCTTTATTAAAGTATAAGAAATGCTTTACTTATAAATCCAGAATCATATAAATCCATAACTAATAACTTTATAGTTTCAATTTCATTTTATAATATTCCTTGAAAAAATTCCTAATTAAAATTTTAAACTCTTTATTAAGAACGATACTATTTCCAATCATTTCTGAAATTACTCCTTGTAAAAATTAATTATGATTTAAAGCTGATTATTAAAATTATTGAATTCCAAAAAAACATTCTACGTTTCTCTATGGTTTCAATAAAAAATATTCATCTTTTTCCAGTACAAATTAATTATTTCATTTCCCTTTTCCTTTTCCTTCTCTCACAAATTTAATTTTTGACTAAATTTAATCATTTAAATTAATTGACAAAAAAAAAAATGCATCACAAACCTCCCCAATAAAAATCGAAATTTCGATTTAAATCTACTCCAGTGCAGCAACGTTGACGATACCAACGATCTTTTGAGCATACCATTTTACCACGATTTTTTCTCCAAAATCTTGCCTTAAAAAAAAAAAAAACAAATAAATATCTTTGCAAATTTTAATCTAATTTTACTCTCTTATTTCCATTCTCATATCATACAATCATTTAATTAATTTATCAGAAATAAAAATATTTAAATTTGAAATATAATTACTAAATACAATTGAAGTATAAGGCATAAAATAATTTTTAAAAAAATAAATAATTTATACAAAAAAAACAAATAATTTATTAAAATAAATAATTTATTCAAAAATCATTTCATTTCATATTTTTCTTCCTAATTTCTTTTTTTTTTATAAAAATATGATTTTTATTTTGCATTTATAATAAAAATGATTTGTTTATGTATTATGATTTGTATTATGATTTATGTATTATGATTTATGTATTATGATTTGTTTATGTTTATGTAAGAAGTAATAATATCTATGTGACATTACATAAGACATGCAATTATTACATAACAATTAACGATGCTATTTAATTATTAGTACCGAAGAAATTAATAATTTTTGAAGTAATGTAAAACGTGATATGATTATGTTGAAATCAGTTCTTTCCTTTTTAATGATCAGGAAAAAGATGGTATAAAAATTTTGTAAATTTATGATACATGTGGTGTTTGATCGGATCTTGAATATTCATAACCATCCGGATTAACAACCGGTACAATGTAAAAATTGAGCGTATCAATGTATGATGTAATTTGTGGATCAATTCCATATTGTGATATTAACTGAAATTTTTGAAACAATAATTTTTATCGCAATTAAAAGTTAATTAAATTAAATCATTTCCTATTACCATTTAGCATATTATCATTTATATAGCTTAATAAATATGCATAACATTTTGCAGTTTTATTATTTTTACAAAAAATTTAGTATTGAAATTAAAATAGAAATTGAGAAATCAATCAAAATTCCATCCCTTTTTTATTTTTTCTTCTTGACTTTTCTAATTAACATTATTATTTGTAATTTTTTAAATTTTAATTATTTTTTTTAAAATAAAATGTTAATGTTAATTAACCTGATCAATGAAATATAATACAGTATGAATAGAAGCCCATTCTCGAGCATGTATTCCACCATCAATCCAAATTATTCGCTTATCTATCCTATCAATTGGATTTCCAATCTAGAAAAGAAAAAAGGAAAACGGACAAGAAATTAAATTCTGAAGAAATTAAATTCAAACTTTATCAAAGAGATTAAATTCAAATATTATCAAAATTAATTTTCAAACAATCTATAATAATTTCAAAGTATTATAGACTTTTTCTGAAATTGGAAATTAATTAACAGTAGTTAATACTGATTATTAAAAAAGAATAAATTGATTAAAAATTTATCAATCAAAGTTATGATATAAATTATAATTTATGAAAAAAGAAAAAAAACTATAGAAGAAATTGATTACACACTTTAATGCCTTTAATATTTCGTCCTTCATGTGTTTGCCCAATTGTAAATACTTTTGCAATTTTAGGATAAAAGTATTCGATATCACTAAGCCATGATATGATTTTATCATAGGAGTGATAATCACCAAAACCATATCTTGCCTTATTCCTAATTGAATTTGCATCTTTTGAACGCTTCATAAATGATTCCATAATTGAGCTAAATGCTGTCGCATGATTAAATAAACTGGTCTTCTTTGGTTGACCTTCTCGTTCATATATCAATCTGATATTTATTATGATGTCATATTCAAATATTCGTATTATTTTAATAAAATTATTCTTAAATTCGATATAAATTTAAATTATTCATATATTATCTAAATTTAAAATAATTTAAATTATACGAAAAGTTAAAATTTATTAAAATTGTTTTACATTTTACATAACTCACTTCTCAACATCATCGATAATAATCTTAAAGGTGATATTATTTTGCATAAAAAGATTTTTCAATGAATGTATCATTGGGAATTGCAACATAATATCCACCGATTGTCCAATATCTGTTGGTGGACGCCAAAAATTTAGCTATAAAATGAAATTAAAATTAATTTTATCAAATTAAAATTCATATCTCTTATTATATCAATTACAATTGTGAATTTTATCGGTACAGTATATTAGATATTTTGCAATGCGGAAATTAGTAACATTGACGAACTAATTAATATGTACTACCGTATATGTATTAATTATTTTTTTATAAACATAACGAATTCATATTTTAGATTATATAATCCGAAGAATTTACCAGCTTCTAAAATTATAGCATCGGAAGTTAACTAATTACTGAATTAAATGATTACTTAATTAAATGATTAATGACCAAATGATCAAATTAATGATTAAATGATTAATTAAATGATTGCTATTAGTAAGAAAGTGGCCATTACTAAAAAAAGTAACAGTAATCTAATCAAAAAATTAAATAATCAAAAAATGACAGTAATAGTGATCAGTTAACCAATCATTTTTCAACCAGATTTTTTTTTAATTTTTTGATCAAAATTTTTTAAATTTTTGATTTAATTAACTTTTTTATTAGATTTAAAAACTAATGGAAATAGTAATCAGTTAAATGACTACTTTTTAATTAATCGAAAGATTTATTTAAAAAATTTTGCCAATTTCATTAACCTCATGCAAGTATCCATTTGTCGCATTAATCATTTTGTCTCTTCTAACATTTATTAAAGTTAGTTCAATGAACCGAAAAATTGAAATTCATTTTTATTCCTTTAACAAAATTAAAGTATTATTTCATCTCGAATAAAAAAAAAAAACTAAACATCAGATGAAATATTTAAGAAAAATTGTTTCAGCAATTAAGTATTTAGAGTAGTTATGAAAAAATTTAATTTGCTATGATGAAAAGTTTTATTTCGATTATCAATATCATCTTCAAATAAATTCATTTTCAAATGCGTGTCAAATTTCAATTATCATATCATCATTAAATTATTCTAATCATCAAAATCATCGTGCAAAGCTCAATTTTAGTTATCATATCATTTTCAAGTGAACATAACGAGTTCAATTTCAGTTATCTTATCACTCTTAAATGATTTGTTTTTTTCAGCAGCAAATTATTAAATTGCTCGTTAATAGTGAAAATATTTTTGGATGAAAAGTAATATTTGTCATATATTATTTTTTTTTTTATATTCACCTCTTTCAAAATTATTTTGCAAACGTTTAATGCTTACTTTGTACAATCATTAGAATTTCCGGCAATGTTATTACTTCTGACAGAACGAATCAGGAATATTGCAAAAATATTTTTCCGGTTGCTATTGCCGTTTTTAGGAATGAGATAAAAATGCAAATATGTTATCACGCATACTTTAAATTTAAATTGTTAATCAAATTCAATATTTAAATTGTTAATGTGTCGAATTCAATTTGTTAAAAAAGTAACTTTGGTTTAATTGACTTTAGCTCAATTGGTTGATAAATGATAATATGTTTACAGCTAACTTAAAATTAGCTTAATTTAAACAGAATAATTAAAAAAAAAATCAAAATTAGCTCAGCTAATGAAACCATTAGATTTTCTCGCAGAAAGAATCATTATTATATACCTGAATAAGACTTTTAACTTTCTTGGCTCTTATAACATATTCTGAGGACATATATTACTCCTTTTAAAAGAAATTCATTCTTGGCCATTTTTCTTTATTTGCAAAAATTGTCTTTTTTTCTTTTTAAAAAAAAAATGTCATTAATAGAATTAATGAAATAAAAAAAAAATTTTTTATAATTGCTAGAAAAGATTTCAATGTTAATTAAATCATTAAAAAATTATTGAAGAAAGAAAAGAGAAAAAAAGAAACCTCTGATTCCATTGATTTGTAAAATAATTCATTTGTAATTGCCAATTGGCTCATACTTTCCGGTACGATTCGTATAACTTTGTATTTTCTAAATTATATTTAAAATTTAAGAAATTCCCTTTTAACCAATTTATTCTTTAAGTAATGCATTAAATTATAAAAATTTGGATATTTTTAAAAAAAATTAAATGTAAAAAAATTTTGGAAAATCTGAAAAAAAATTAAAATCAAGAATTACGAAAAAGAAAAATTATTGGCTTTCCTTTTTTTTCATTTTACAACCTTACTCTGTGACATTCCTAACATTTATTATCACCTTTATCATTATCACCATGTTTATTATCATTATCGCCACTATGACTATTCAAACCACTTATCACTGTATTATTATTATCACCAATTATGATACAACAAAATTTTGCATAATTCTGCAATGTATTATTATAAATAAATGGGTAATCATTGTAAATTTTTTTGAAAATAATTCCAATTATGGTATGTCAAATTGTTTTATTTTTGTTTCACTTATAGATTAAATTATCTGTGAATTCAAATTTCTTAATGTGTCATCAAAATTTATGTTCCTTTGAAAAGCTTTTTTTCTTTCTTAAAAAATTTCTTTGAAATTAAAAGAAAGAAAAACAGCATCCATTTAATATTTAGTTAATAATTAAACAGCATCCATTTAATATTTAATTAATAATTAAACAGTATCCATTTAATATTTAATTAATAATTAAACAGCATCCATTTTATATTTAATTAATAATTTACGACAAATTATTAAGGCAAATGAAGTTTTGATAGTTTACATTATGATCATATTCAATGTAAATTTTTTCTAAATGATTCCAACTACAGTTATCAAATTTTTTTCAGTTAACAAGTTTTTTCTTTTCCTTTTTTTAATTAGTTTCAACATGTGGCAAAGATGCTAAAGATGGACACTATTCTTATCATATCAGTTCACACTGATAATAAACAAATTGTAATTGTATGGATTAATTGAAACTTGGAATAACTT